CAACCCCCCGCCGTCAGAGAAACTGACAAACAAGACTCTGCCTCATCCGATAAGAATGGCTCCTACGATTTCACGGATTTTAGGCGGGGGTGGAGGCGTTGAGGTTAGGAGAGCCCTGTGAATGAACATCGCCGGAGGCCCAGGGTCCGCAGAAGAAGGGTTTTATTTGACTTTCTTTTATTTGATATTATCTTATTTTCTAACACAGTGACCTGTCGTTTGTAGCCTTGGGCTCTGCAGGCAAATCCCCTTCTGTGGCGCTGGGGACAGCCTGCAGGGTCTCTGCCTCTGCCCACAACAGCGCTCCCGTCCTCCCGTGCCCACACACAGCGGGGTGAATCAGTCAGACTCGCGGTCCATTCAACACAGGCGGCCGCGTAAAGTGACACTAGAAAAGGCCCTGCCAGTTCATCCGAGAGGACCAAGAAAGACGCCACCAAGCTTCAAATAGGTGCAGTAACCCCGCCCAGAGGAGCAGAGTTGAGGGGGCTGCTGACACTAGCAGAACGGGGGAAAGCACCCAAGAACTGGGTTGCCACCGGTCGGGGTTCCAAGTCACATTCCGTATGCTCCTCTACTGACTTCTCGGGGACAGCGGAAACGGCTCTAGGTCTCATCTCCCCGAAGGGACTAGGATAAAGGTTCCTGCCCAGGACTGCTTGCGGGGGCGGGGAGGAGGTGGGTCTGGGAATGGTGGGGGGCGGGGGGGAGTAGGGTGGTCCCGCGCTGATGTAAACTGGTGGCCGAGTCAGAAGATTTTACTGCTTCTGGACGGAGGAAGCGCTGGGAGAGGGAGTCTCGGAGCTCTAAGAAAACCACACCATGCCTTAGTCCTGGTACAACAGGTCACAGCATCAGGGGATCATTTTCTAAGTTGATAGAAGACAAGTAAGCAAGTCAATAAACAAAAACCCCACTTTGGAGTGGATAAAGAAAACAGAAGAGAGAAAAGATAGGGGGAGAAAAAGACAGGGAAACAAGGGGTGGGGCGAACACCCTAAACATTTTTGCAGGAAAAACAGAATAGGAGAACTGGCTCTGGAAAGATCCATTAAAGTCAGGGGATGCAGACACACACCCTGCTCAGGGAGGGCCCAGTGAGTCCGAACTTCTCTTAGCCCTTTTGAGAGAATTAAAAAAATGCAGTCCTCCACACAACCCTTAAAAGTAAACACTTTTACCATATATTCATTAAATGTTAAAAAATTTTTTTCTTTTAAAAGTAGATGGTTCTTTTAGTCATTCTTTGGCTGAGTAACTTTGGTTTCCAATATCTCCTGTTTTCTACAACTGCCATTGAACCATTAACAACTCATTGTTACAACAGGAGTAGCAATGATTTTTAAAGGTAATTAAGTAGAATTAAATACATCTTTAATGGGATATTTTATGTCTTGCAGGCCTTCTGTAATCTTCAAACAAAATCTAAAATCAACATTTACATAAAATGCATAAAATAGCACAGAAGTGAATGGAGTTATGCATCCTACACACAATAAATTCTGTTTTCTATCTTTTCAGATAGAATGTCAACAATGAGAAGGCCTCCTTTTGGGGGGTGGGGTGGGGCCGGTGATAAATAAACTTTTAAGATCAAAGTAAAAACCTGAAAAAGTAAATTAGTAATGTGTCTAAAATCGGGTTGCTATTTAACCCATTTAAAAAACATCTCGTCTTCAATGATCATTTTCTCAAGTTCAGTTAAAATGCAACTGTCAGATTAGGGAGGCTGGGAGAAGGACAGTTTTAAAAATTTCCTTCTGAAAAGCTGCTGTAAGAAATTTCTCCCGTTTACTTCCCGACCTCTCTTTCCTCAGACAGCCACGTTTCTGGCTTCCCCGCGTGCTTAGATTAACTGCAGCTTGCAAAGGGGTTTTATAAGACAATCAATAGGGACTCTATATTCATAAAGGCCTCTGATCTGATTACACCTTTTATTTTTTTCATTCCTCTCTCAAAAATTTAAGTCGGCTAGCCTGGAAGTCCCAGAGTTGCAGCGCCTGTGAGAGGCCGGAGGCTGCGGAGCACTGGCGACGGCGGCGAGGGCGCCCGTGGATTAGGATGTGGATTGCAGGACAGACCTTTGTTTGGTCACATTCTCGACGGGGCTTGGGGGGAGGGTCGTCCTCCTTCGAGATCGCGCCAGATTTTTATAGACTCGCCTTAAAAGAACTCGCCGCTCTTCGTAGAGTTTATTTATGGGGCTTTCGAGGAATATTGGGACTTTTAAGACGCTCTTTATTTTTTTCCCATTAGTATTTTCTGGTTACACTCCTAAAGGGACTCCCGGGTTTCAGCACCTCGCAGGAAGAGGGTGGGAGTGAGAGAAAGAACGGGGCCAGGAGGAGAAGGGGAGGATTTGCCCCCTAATCAAACTGCCTACAGGGCCCAGGCTGCCCAACATATTTTTTAAAATTAAATTTCTAACCATGTTGTGGGCAGTAAAACTCAGATTTAGGAACTGGGAGGAAATTGAGACAAACGAGGGCTATATCTACCTTTCCCCAGGTTTCCACCCATTTGAATTCAGTATTAGGGGAAGGAAGAGTTCGGGGCCTTAAGAATTTTAAGTTTAAAAAACGAGGACAGACCGGAGAGAGGATTAGAGTAACAGGTGAGGGGGGCGGGGAGGAAAAGCCCTTGGACCGCATATTGTCTGCGCGGGGTTCCAGCCCCCCCCTCCCCAGTCTCTGGGGCACAGAGGTGGGCGGCGAGAGCTCAAGGCCTGAGATGCCTGGGCTCCCGGGGGCCCGACCTCCCGCTCGCCATCTTTGATCCCAAGCGGAGAAGGTTGCTGTTCATGCTATAGATTGCCTTAAAGGTTCCTTTAAGCACTTTAATACACAACTAGCTCAGAAATCATTAAGAGACCTAGAGAAGGAGAAAAAAATACCTCACACTCACCGGTAATAAGTGTTGACATGCAGCAAAAATCGATTGAGTGGAACCGAGGTGGTGGCAGTAGCGATGGCTGTAGGGGGACCAGCGTGGGAGCGGGAGGGGCGAGGGAACTAGGCTTTTCTCACTTGAAGGGAAAAGGAGGTGCGGAAAGGGGCCGAAGGGCCAGCGAGGATGGGTGTGGGAAGGGGAGGTGAGGAGGGTAATTCTCCCTTCTGGAAGTCCTGGGAAAGAGCTGAGGTGGGAGAAAGGGCCTCTCATCAGCCCCGAGTCTCCGCCCACAGCCCGCACCACTCAAGTCGGGGAAGTGACAACTCTTCCCAAACCTCGACTTCCATTTTTGTTTCCTGCAGATTTGATTGATTTCCTTGAAACTGAGTTCTGTTTCAGCAAGCAAACTAGGCCGAGATCCACGTCCTGCACCCAGCGCTCCCAAGTCGTTCTTGGGCCTGCAGACGCAAATCCTCCCAGCAGGTCTCGTTAGCGCTTCCAGGCCCCCATCCCCAAATCCCCTCTCCCATTCCCCTCCCTCGCCGCCCCTCCCCCCAAGCCCGGCGGAGGCTCTGGGAGGCCCGGACTGACGAGCCCCGCGGCTCCAGAAGCCAAAGTCCGCCCGTGGGGACCGTTTTCCTCTCCACTGCTCTCAAGTGAACAACAAGGACGGAGGTGACCCTCGTCCAAAGGGCTTTTATCTGCCCTCCACAGCCGCGTGATCCCACCGCAGGTCCGAGGCAGAGCTTAAAAAGGAAAGAAAGTAAGTTAATGTGCATTAAGCACTGATCTTAAATAGGGGACATTATCTGCGATCTCTTTAAGTGGCAGCAGCACTCCCATGCAGAACAAAGACTGAGTGTCTGAGCTCCAAAAGCTTATAGGTAAAGTTTCAGTCCGATAAAAGCAACTTAAGCGCAAAAACACAGGTTTTCTCGGCCCCAGAAAACTGGCGGTTACTTTTTGCTCCCGATTCCCCAGCCAGGGTGATGTTTGTCTTTGCCCACCGCGGGGGGGTGGGGGGGTGACCCGAAGAGCAAAAGACCTCAGAACTACCCCTCACCCTCACGCCTAACACACCGACCTCCCTTGCGCCACGGTGATGACTTCTTTAGGACTAAGTCGTATTTGCTACTATTTGTTACAAAAGTAATTTCACATTAAAAAAAAAAAAAAAGCTGAAAACCACCAACAAAGGAAGAGTGGGTGCTTAACGTTCTTTTAAACCCTCACACCAAACTCATTCCCCGTTTAGATGTCAGAGGATGGGAGGCAGGACCAGGGCTGTAATTCATCTTGGTTTGCTTCATTCTCCGGCAGTTTGCAAACTATAATCCTGCATAATTTCAGGAACAAGCAGCTTTAGAATTAATGGGTCAATATTATTTAAAACAAAACACGGGGAGCATGACCTTTGCCTCAACTACATATTGCTCGACAAGACTCAGGAAACTCCACTCTAACCTCTCAACCCCTGGGCTCTTTGAGAAACTAAAGGGCTGTGGTTATTAGAAATGGTCTTTGTTTCTTTTAATGTCTCGAAAGGATTTGGAAATAGTAATGTAATATAACATGAAGAATCTCTCTACTTAAGCCTGAGAGGTAAACGTGGAGGCCTAAATATTTTGAACTGAAGGTGTTTCCTTGTAAACTTAGAGACGTATTCCTCTTGAGAGGAATGTATATAAATTGTAGATGTATACATACACACATACTTCTCCAGAACAATTTAGTGGATGTGCAGGTTCCCCCCTCCCCAAAGGAGTAAACTTGAGAGTCATTCCAAGCTAATGTACTTTCTAAATTTCTTTCCCCTTTCTTCTTTCCCTCTTATATTGCTAGCAATAATGGAATCCTCTGGGTGCAAGCCAAAGAAAAATCTGGGAAACAAGACCAGACTTCGCAGCCACCCCCCCTTTTTTTTTCTGAGAGTACCTCTTTTTTCTTTTTAGTTTCTGATGAATGACTATAATTTATTTCTACCAAATTTAAATAAGTACTGCTGCTTTGTGTATTTGACTAGGCAGGCAGAGGGAACTGGTTTGTTTAGGAAGCAGTGACTGAGAAACCCTGGCCAGGCGACAGAGGAGGGCAGAAAGAATCCAGACCAATTTGTATGCAGTATATTTTACTCCCATGAAATAAAACACATTTTTTTCATATTTGCTGAAAAGTAAAACAATAATATTGTACGAAATGTTATACACAGGGTAGGTTGTACATAGCAGTTTCAGGAACATCATTGCATCCACCAGAGAGACTATTCTAAAACTGATATTCACACTTTTTTTTATAATAATAATATGTTAGAAACATACAGTGTGGCATTTAGTATATACATTCCTTTGCTCGCAAGCAAAAAATCCTAATCGCTTCTGTATAACATGCTTTATTTTAAAGCCTAACCTTTAAAAACACTGTTGTGATATTACTAACAACTGCTTTTTATAAAATTAATTTGACATTTCGATATATATACATCCTTTCAGTCATTTTAATGTTAACAACGCTAAACTTAAAAAATAACAAGCTTATAGTAATGTTAAAATGTCATATCCAGTCAAACATTTGTGTGTGTCCTTGCAACTGTTGGAAATACTTTTTAGTGAAAGATGTCAGACATTGAGGAAATTCCTTTGAAATCAAAGGAGCTCTCTTTAATTCAGTGGTTTCCCTTTTTCTCTATATCTTCTCTCTCTCTCTCTCCCTTTCTTTAGTGCCCACGACCTTCTAGCGTAATTCCCAGTCTTTCAACAAGGGCAGAGCTGCCCTATCCGGCACGGTCCTAGAATCCCGGCGCAGTGCGCGGCTCACACGGGCCGGTCCACGGCGTACTGGCAAGCACTCAGGTTGGACGCCGGGTTCTGCACGCTGGCGTAGCCGAAGCTGGAGTGCTGCTTTGCTTTCAGTCTCAGGCTGGCCAGGCTCGAGTTACACGTGTCCCTATAAACGTACGGAGGAGTCGGCGGCGCGTAAGGACAGGCGGGCGTGGGCACCGCGGAATTCAGCGACGGGCTGCTCAGGTTGTTCAAGTTATTCAGGCTGTTGAGGCTGGAGCCCGGGACGCCGGTCACCGCTGAGGGTACCATGCTGGACGACATGCTCATGGACGAGATGGAGTTGGGTGGGGAGAACATGCTCTGGGATGACAGGGGGTTGACGTTCATAGAGTTGAAGAAAGGGAAGCTCTTGGTGGACAGGGAGGCCGACGTGAGGCCCTTGGCGGCCCAGTTGTTGTACGAATAGCCCGGGTACATGTCGTCGTAGGGCTGCATAAGCCCGTTGAACTGCGGCCCAAAGCCATTCTTGCACAGCTCGGCCTGCTGGTTGCGTTCCCGCTTTCTCCATTTGGCCCGGCGATTTTTGAACCAAACCTGGGGGTGGAGGACAAGGGAGCAAACAGACGCCACAGATCGGATTAGTAAAACCTAGATCCGGGAAAGCACCAGCAACCACCCCCGCTCGAACACACACCCGCACACCCTCCCCGCCACAGTTCCCCACCCCCACCCCACTGCCCCGTGCCCCAAGCTGCCAGAGCCCCGTCCCAACGCAGGGGGCCAGGCCGGTTCAGGCCTGTGAGCCCGGGCTCTGAGTTGTGCCACAAACCCCAGCACACCGCCTGGCGGCCTGCGAGTGGCTTATTCACTAACCCACGTCCTCCTCAGGGTCCAAAAACACTTACTGCAAAATAAACTCAGAGCAGCGGGCTTTCCGCCCAACCCTTCCCCGGCCACCTTGCAAACTTGCTTGCATTCCAAAGCCACAGTGATGAGGGCAAGGGGCTGGGAGGCCACCTCTCTCTCCTACAACTCCTCCTCCCCTCTCGAATCTCCACCGCCACCCCCTACTCCACGGAACGTGCGCCCTCAACAGGCGCCAGGCCACGACCCCCTTCCTCGCCTAGCAAAATAACCAAATAAAAAGTAAAAGACCACCTCCCCGACAGCTAATTAAACTCCGCGAGCCTGGCGTGTAAATCTCCGGGAACCCGGGAAGAGTCGCTTTGCAGCCTTCCCCTCCCTTCGCTCCAGTCCTTCATACCCTCCGCCCACCCCAGGCCAGACCCGCGCGCCCGGCGCTGCTCCCGCCGGGCCCGGCCTAGTCGCTGGGCTTTGCGGGCGGCCGCCCAGCCCCGCCAGCCCCCACCCGTGTCCGGTGGCCCAGACGCAACCCCATTCTCAATCCACATCGGGCCCGCCCGTAGCCCCAGACGGCGGTTATTGTGTATTGGAGCGAGGCCTGACCCGAGATTTCCGAGCTGACACCGATGATGTTTCACATTACACATCTCAGCCAGGCCCAGCCACCTAATCCGCTTTTTTCCCCCCCTTTTTCCCTTTCATTCTCGATTTCCTTTTTATCCCCCTTCCTCTTTGCACCCGACAGCTATAAAAAGGACGCCTCACTGCCCACTCGGCTGGACAAGCAGCGGGCCTGGAAGGAGGTAGTCCCAGGGAGCCTGAGCGCAGCGCTGCGGCGGCAGGAACTTGGAAGGGACTGCTGAGAAGTCGGAGGGGGTGGGGGGAGGGTTTTCCGAAGGATTCCGGAGACCCCATAGATTGTGTTTTCATTTTAATTACTTGCCATTTCTACCCTGGGCCGTCTAAACTTTGCCCAGGCGAGAAGAGTACGTGTGAGGCCCGATCCCCAGATGCGCGTGAGAGCTACGAAAAACTGACCTTGTGCAAAAAAACACGCGGTCCGGGCCTGAGCCGTAGCTCTGCGCTGTTAAACTAAAACCATTTCCAACTTCAACCTGGCTCATCTATCCACTAGCACAGCCTCATTCCCTACACACATGCCACTCAGAGAGTGCCTTCGGTCTCTCGGCTTTGGGAGTGCATTTTGGTCTCATTTCATCATTATTGCTAGAGTGCTTTCTTCTGTTTTCTCAGCTCTAACTGGGGGCTCTTTTTCTATCCAGAGCATTTTTTTTTTTAACAGCAAAGCCTCGGGCTCCTGCTATGCGTGTTTTCTGCTTCCAGAATCCTAACAAATTTGGAGTTTTCCGCCGACCAGCACAAACCAGGATATTGGGTAATTTAAGTTCATTTTTGCCAATCCATAAAGTACAGATTTGCTACAAAGGTAAGCCCTTTCTTTAATAAAACTATTATGATTGGGAGGAAGGGTGTGAGTAACAGTCTCCTGAGAAAAGATAAATAAACCAAACCGAAAAGTCTTTCTTCTTTTCTTTCTAAGAGGACCGGCAGGGTAGCAGTTGTGTATTAAAACTGCTTCCGCAGATCACAAAACCAGGGGATAGGGTGTGGAAGAGATCTGAATGGCGGAAAAACCGCAAAGACTGTGTAAGGAGGGAGAGGAGAGGAGAGAAAGGGCCGGGCTAGGCCTGGCGCGGAAGTTTTCCAGGGAGGGCAAACCCCTGCGTGTCTCAGGCGGGTTTTCCTTGTTAAAGGCGCTCAGGTTGGAGCCTGTCCTCGGCTCCTGGCCTGGGACGGATCTTATTAGCGCTCGTCTGGCGAATACAAGCCGGGAACACAATGCCCTGTGTAGGGGAATGCACGCGGCCGCGTTTGGGAGCGCGCAGTGGGTCGGGGCGTGGAGCCGGAGCCGCTCCCGGCGCCTGCGCCAGGCCCGCGGCCAGTCTCGGAAGAGGGAGCTGTAACCTCGCAACTGGGGCCGCCGTGAGAGGCCATCTGTCTTGGCAAAGGCACCCACCCGAGCCCTCCCGGACAGCGCTGCCTTCCACACTCTCTCCCGGGCTACAGGGCCGGCATCCCCGCAACGCCCTCCCCGCTAGCCCTCCCAGCCTCCGTGCGGGCTCCTACCCGGACTCGGGCTTCCGTAAGGTTGGTCCACACGGCGATTTCTTCGCGCGTGGACATGTCCGGGTAGCGGTTCCTCTGGAAAGTGGCCTCCAGTTCCTGCAGCTGCTGGCTGGTGAAGTGAGTCCGCTGCCGCCGCTGCCTCTTCTTCTTGGACGGGTCTTCGGCGCCCACGTCCTCATTCTTTCCCTGCTGGCTCTTATCTTTCTCTGAAAACGAAACACACAGAGGTCCCCGTCAGCATGCCCACCTGCTACCCGCGAACGCCAACTGGACCAGGCGGCAGAGGCCGGGGAAGAGCTGGGCTGCCTGGCGGGGGAGGAGGGTGTGGAGCGGCCGCTCCGGGCCAGGGAAAGAGCTGCGTCTGCGGGGTGTGCAGACGTGAGTGTGGGTGTGCGCGCCCCACCGCCTCTCTTCCCCCAGCGCCGCACGTTTTATTTACACGTTTATCTCACTGCGACGGCACACTCATTTTTATAGCCTGTGCTTTCAGGTATATTTATAAGCTTCTGCGTGGACACACCAAATCTCCCGGGACACCCACACGCGCGCGTTTTACAGAACCCCCTCGTAAAAAGCTCAGATTTCGATGCGGTTTCGGAAGGCTAGGAAAAGTAGGCTTCGGGATTCGGCGAGGCACCCAAGTTCCTCTGCCCTTTAGGAAAACCGCCTGTTCTTCTGAGGCGTAGTTTCACAAATATTTTTCTAACAAGCGGAGCTTCTTGGTAGCTGAAAGCCGAGAGCAGAACAGGGGACGCATGGGGGCTCGGGGAGCGGCCTCTGAAGGTCCTCGAATGGAGATACTGGGAATTTTGTGACCCAAAAAACAGAAAGGAGGCCAGGATCGGAATAGGGAGGGCGGCAGAACTGCCCGCGTGGATCGCGCCACACCAGCCGGGCAGTCCAGGCAGAGCGAACGGGACGAGGGGTCAACACAACCCTGGCTCCAGAAGTTCTGCGGGGAGCGGGCTACAGGACCACTCCCACCACGCCTCCCCCAGGAGGGGCCGACTTCCTCGGGGGCGAGAAGGGCCGAGCGGCGCGGGGCCACGCGGCGCCTTACCTGCGGCCTCGGGGCTGGAGGTGTCAGAGATGGTGTGCACCTCCAGCCTGTGCTTGGAAGAGTCCAGGGAGCGGGTCTGACCGGGAGCCAGGACCGAAGCCATGGCCAGCGGCTGGGGATGGTGACAGGAGGAGGACGAGGAGGCGGCCAACAGCTTGGTCCCTGCTGCTCGGTGCTCCAAGTGCAGCGGGCCTTTCATGCAGTTCATGGACGAAGGAGCGCGCCGCACTACGAGTCCTGGGCTGCCGCCCGGCCGAAGCCCCGCCGCCGCCGCCGCCTGCTCCGCTTCCCGCTCTAGGCGCGGAGTTTCCTCGCGGTGGCCGCCGCGGGCAGAGCAGGGAACACAACCCCGGCAGAGTCCTCGAGCCGAGCCGCCCCAGTCCCCTTCGGAAGGCTCAAGCGAAAGGGTCCGGCGGCCGAAAGTCAGCGGGCCAAAGGAGACATGGGGATGTGGGTAGGAGAGCACGGTTCGGAGCGTCTTTGGGGAGCAGGCTTCCAAGCTCCAAAGCGAAACAAGAGTGGGCAAAGACCCCTTTCTTCCCTCCCTCCCTCCCTCCCTCCAGTACCCCTCCAATAAGGAAAGCTAACGCCGCCGTTTGCGCTCTGCCCGCCCCCCGCGCGGCAGCCCTGACAGCGAAGTGTCAAGAGTGACAGGGACAGGTAGCTGTTACTAGATCTCCTGCGGCGGCGGCGGCGGCAGCGGCGCGGGCCTCTGGGCGCACCCTCCGCGGTGCGCACACGCACACTCCCTCGGGCGGTCGAGCTCGAGCCCGGCCTCGCCGCAGCTCAGGTCCCAGCACCCAGGCGAGCGACGGACCAGCTCTGCGGCTCCAAGCTTCCCTGTTGGCCTAACATCTTAAAACCAGAGGCGGGCTTCCTGGTGCCGAGACGTCACTCGGCCGCTGCCCTCCCCAACCCTCCCCGCCTCCTCCCAGACCCTTCGCCGGCTGGAGTGACGTGACTCCGCACCAATCAGGAGCCCCCGAGCCGCGACCGAGGGACAGTCCTGTCTGCACCTATCAGCTGTGCGGGGCCGGGCTAATACCTCGCTGTGCCCGCCGAGTCTACACCCGGCGGCTCCCGGGAATTCTGCTCCGGCCCGGCCAAAGACGATCCGGCTTTTAGTTCTGGTGGGGAGGTGGAAATATGCGGCTGGGAGTAAAAGGCTCGTCAGAAAGAAGCGGAAAGATCGAAGGCTGAGAGGTATAAGGATCAACAAGACACCCAGCCACCCTCCCCTCCTTCCTTTTGTGTCTCACTACATTCATTTCCTACCGAGAGGTGTTTTTCTCCCCCGTATGGAGAGGAGACATGCTACTTAAAACCAGAAATATTTCAGAACACCAACAAATCATCTCTCCGATCTTAAATTTTCCAAACAGTCTGTCAAGTGAATGCTGCGGAGCTAATCTGAAGAAGCTTTACTTTAATTGCAAAGAAGACAGAGCCAAGAGAGGCTAATAAATTAGAATTCGAGAAGCAAATGGATCCGTCAAAAGAAAATTACCTTGACTTTAAACGAACAACTGTTTGGTGGTTCACTCTGGATTTATACAAGAATAAAAAGTCGCCTCAGATCACGTTCTCTGTAATGCTTATTAGTCCCCAGACAGAAAACACACAATAGACTAGAAACCCTAACCCAGCATTTTCAAAATGCTGAAAGCTTATCCATTCTACTTAACATTGATTCAGACACATATCCGAGAGCTTTCAAATTCCTTATACACTGTATTAAGCTCATCCTAACCCGAGAGAGCCACGCTTTAAATTGAACTCTCGTTTACTTTGTTACCAGATTCAAACCCATAAAGCCTGTAGAATCAACAACCTTGAGCTAATTATATATAAAATATGCTTTAATGAATTTCCATACAATTAAGAATGTTGCCAAATAACCAATTTCAAGGATAATTTTTAAGTCATTTTCTATTCCTAGGAGCTCCAGGCTGGCTTGAATTGGTGGAGTCCACAGGCAGAGGCAGTAGGTTGTGGGCAAAAGCCTAGGAGAACGTTCAGCAAGGAAAAGCAAAGCCTTGTTCATTTGTTTAAAACAAAAGGAAAAAAACACCTTTGGGGACATCTAAATCTTTACAGCTCTATTTCCAAAGAAATTAAAGAAAGAAATTCAAAGTTATCATTCAAAATAATTTGTGAAAGTCCTTTTGTCCTCCGGCTTAGGTCAGCTGGAGAGCACAAACTAATCTCCCCTGGGTTTCTGCATTGATGATTGCTTTATTGTGGAGTTAGTGTTATCATCCCTGAATGTGTATTTGTTTGACATTACAGTCAATGATTTGCAACGCCAGTATGAGGTATCTTCAGAAAACTCCCTCCTTGTCCTTGTTCCCAAGATTGGGAAACTTTTCAATCTGAGGCAGAGTGGACGAAGCAGACTACAAATACGTTTGTAACCTATGTGTCTCTCCTTTGCCCTGCTCCCGCCTCCCCCCCACCATATCTGCAACTCCTCCCCCATTTTAAACAAGCTTGAGAGCAGTCCAAGAACCAAATGAGAATTCTTCAGTCTCTCCCCAAAGTATCATGCCACTTTAAGAAGAACTTAGCTACAAGGAGGAACTTTCTTCATAGGAAGCTTTGAATCAGCATTTCTGGTTTTAACCTTTTATTCCAGTTAACCCCATTCCATGCATACACACACCTGCTTAGAGCAGAACACATCCTCATGTGACAGGTCTGCATTAGCTGAGGCTCATACGTCCAGCTATATTAGGTCCTGAAATCTTATCACTAAATTATACATGTTACATAAGCAGCCTGTTGGTAAAGAAGGTTAAATTAATTTACATTCTGCTCATTAACTGGTGCTTAAATGATGCATTTTATCCCTGAGATTTGGTGGAGAATCTCCTTCTCAGACCCCCCAGTGTTTCACCGAAGACAATGCTCTTACATTTGTAGTGGTTTTTAATCTGATAAGACACTAATTTGCTTAAGTCTTTTAAATAAGGGTTTTAAATGTTTCTCACCATTTTCTTATTGAATTTCCTCTAATTCCCCCAAGACCATAAAGTGTATGTGTAAAGTAAATATTTCCTCCCATTGCACTGCCAGCTGATGACCTATAAGTAAGTCAATATGAATCCAGCCCTTTTCTGCCCAATGTGTTTACTAATCATATTCTAGTATCTTCTCTTAAACCTCAGCATAGCTGCAATCCCCACAATACCATACGCTCAAGCCTTCATATCACAAAGAAACTCAATCACATCAAAGAATGAAAGATTCTCCTCCATAGTGAGCATACTTCTTTTCCTTGTCTCTTCAACATTCAAACCCTGGAGTTGCAATTTTTGGTGGAGGCTCTGAGTGGTTTTCAAAACTCCTTACTCAGAAGAGCTGAGAAGCTCCACAGAGCCATGTAGATGTCTAAGCCCATCTCTCATTAAACCCATGGAATTTTGATTTAAGCTCTTTGGCTCTGTTGACTAACAGAACTTTCCTCAAGGCAAATACAGTTTGAAGGACCTAAACCAGCCTCCAAAGTGGGTGAAAAATCCAAGGGCAAGCGACAGCTCCCTGTAGTGCCAACGTGTGGAAATGCTGGTGATCAGCCTGAAAGCCTAAAAAGATAAGGTATCTTAAACTATATCGATCCATTGCAAAGTCAAGTGGAGAATAAAGAAAGACAAATTATTTGAAGAACTCTGGTTAAGCAAAAATGAAATCATATATACATACGCATATATCTATCTATAGATAGAAATACACATACATAATATATCCCCCCCCCAAGAAAAACCCCAACTGAGCCAGGGAGGTATTTCTTTGCATTTCTCTAGCCAGAGTTTCAACTCTCTCCTAATCTTCTAATCACTTCACACACTCTGAGTTTGGGTGATACCCTCTCCAGCCCCAACAGCGTTCACTCCACCGGTGGTAGGAGTGCTCCAACATGAAAAGTCTAGATGAGGAAAGGCAAGTGTGTAGTGGGGAATGAAGAAACATTTTTCAGTTAAAACTCTAGTGGTGGTGGGCAATTTTTAGATTTAATCTACAAAAAACCTGTGGGTGCAAATGTATAGGCAATACAGATGACAAAGGAGCTGGAAGTAAGGGAACCTTAGGTATTCTGTCAGTTCAGAGCTACTGTTACCCGCCTGTCCCCCACTCTTCTTTGACTGG